CGCCCGGGCCGCCAGCTGCAGAGGCCGAGATAAGTCGTGGGGGACTCCAGTGGGCGCAGGGGAGGCCCGGCCTGTCTTATCAGGGAGTCCCAGGCGCAGGGAGCAAGGGGCAGGGAAGACCCCACCCATCGCGGACACCGCTGGCCAGTCCGTCTGATGAGTCGGGGACTTGGCACCTCTGCCTCCTTCCTTGGTGACATGGGAGCAGGCGGCCTGCAAGGGGGGGCAGGCTGCGGGGCGGCCCCTGGGCCTCCTGTCTGTAGGCTCTCGGGCGCCTGTGCCGCTGCCCAGCCCCCGACACCTCCCCCCGTCACCCCACCTGCTGGACACCCAGACACAGGGCCGGCCAAGACTTGCGTCCTCCGCTGCCCTCAGCCCGCCCCTCCTGCTAGGCCCTGCCCATGTGGTGACCCCGACCTCCAGGCTCCCAGAGGGCGGGCAGCACCCAGACCCGCTCCCCCAGCTCTGCAGCCGCGTGTCCCACGAGGGAGAGGACAGGAGGCACCTCCAGGTCTCAGCTCCTCCCACCCGCGGGGCTTTGCACGTGTGACCTCCCACGGAGGGCGGGGCTGGCATAGAGGAGGCCGCGCGTGCCCCCGCCTCGGGGCACAGGGCAGGGCATTCGTGGTGGGGTGAGCTCCTCGTCCTGTCCTGCTCGGAGCTGGGACGCTGCCCCCAATTCCCAGACTTGGCACCACGGGCCCCTTCCACCTCGCGCCCCGCATCCATCAGCACTGGCCCTGCCGGGACAGAGGCCACGAGAGTCATAGCAAACCCAGGGGTTTATGTATAAATAACCCGGCTGGTGGCCCCGGCACCCCAGGCCCCCACGGGGAGCCCCTCCGGGGTGAGGGCTGGCCAGGGCTCCGTGGCTGAGGGATGTGCAGCAGCGCCCAAGAGGACCAGAGCCAGGCCCAGCCGGGACCCGCCCACGGCCTGAGCTGATGCTGTGCCTGCAGCCGCCCAGCCTGGGACCCGCTGTCAGGGCGGCCACGCGGCCCGAGGGCATGGCCAGCTGCACCGGCAGGTCCCTGGGCTCCTGGACACGCACAGGCGCCCTCTGCCAGGGGCCGGGCAGGAGGCTCTGGGAGGGGCGGACCTTTGGCCTTTGGCGGAGGGTCGGGGGCGAGGAGCCCTGCCCTTTCCCAGCGGCCAGACCACCCGGCCCTACGGCTCCTCCAAGGGGATCAGCATCCTCTTCTCCAGGCTGCGGCTCCTCCGGTCCCCGCCCACCGCGGGGAGGGCGCGGGGCCCCGGGGCCTCCTGAGTGGCCTGCTGCGTGTAGTGCTGGTAGGCGGGCGAGAAGTTGTGAATGGCGTCGCGCACCATGTCCTGCGTCTGGGTCTCCCTGGGCCCATCTCCCCTCGAACCCCAGCCGGGCATAGCCTGCTCCTGCCTCCGGGGGCTGCCCAGCCAGACCCCACGAGGTCACAGGTGGGGGACGCCTTGGGTGGCCAGAGCAGCCCCAGGCCACTGCTGCCCGAATGGGCCATTTTCCAGGGACATGAGTTCATGTGGTATTTATCCGCTCTCCAGTTCCATCCATGCTGTGACAAATGGTAAGAGTTCCTTTTTCTTCTTCCTCTTCTTAAAGAATACCTTTCAGCATTTCATATAATGCTGGTTTGGTGGTGATGAACTCCTTTAGCTTTTTCTTATCCGTGACGCTCTTTAT